TCGGACCCAATGATCACTTACCCCACGGTGTGGGGAGTGGTCATTGATTGATAATGCTAGCGCGCCCTCCCGAATATATCGGGGCTTCGGGGAATAGGGCCTGACCAGCGCACACTACGGTGAAAAAATAATAATAATAATAATTTCTTAGACGATTTTATCATTTGAATTCCTGAAGACAGTATCAAAGAAAAGAAACCAAGTAAAATTTTAGATCTATTACCATATCCATAAATTGAAATAATAAATTTAACCTTGGTGTTGTGGTGACCATCAAATGGTTAGGAATAAATTATGAGGAATTCAAAACATAAACTACATAAACTTACCAGATTTTTTTTCTTTACATGTTATTGTTAATCTCAACTATATTTATTTCCACTAGTGAAGTGGAAGTGAGGGATGGTATAATAACGAAGATATCAATATTGCTTGTTTTTACTTTCAACTTTAAGCTAGGAAAACATTATTTATATTAGGCNTCACTTTCAACTTTAAGCTAGGAAAACATTTATATTAGGCTCTTGAAACAATCTATCTAAAAAGTAAAATAGGTACCACTTTTTTAAGGACTTTGTCTCCTCGAAGCATGCTTACTTGAATGTCATTGTTTCCCATAATTTATATGTTAAGATGTAGGTATAGGTTTTGTTACAAAATTAATTTCCCATGGAAAATACTACACTTTTCATTAGTGCATTTTCTATAAGTGGAACTCAATACTTTCATGAAGGAAATTAGTTATATCTGTTATTGATACACACATTTTTTCAGGTAGTTTTTTCAAATTTTTTTAATGAAATCTTGATTTTTGTGAGTTTTAAGTTAAAATTCCAAACATATACCACTTTGGATAAGGAAATTGAACTATATCAGTAAATATATGATATAGTTTAGTGAGGGGATTTGATATACATCAAAAACCTGTATCATATACTGGATGACACGCAGGTAGCTAAAGCTGCCTTGGTAGTGACTTTAGTACAATCTCCAACTCGAAGAGAGCTAACCGAAAAGTGCTTCTGGCTTTTGTTGATGACTCTGTGCATTTGTGCTGTTTCCTGCAACCAAGTTTTGCCTAACCTTGCACTTCAAATATGGCTGTACCGTACTGATGACAACTATTGAGCCAGAAACACATGTCAACATGTGTGTGCGGTTTGCATTTTTCAGAGTGCTTTGTCTATGAATTTTCCCTATTTTAGATGTATATCAAATCCATTTGCTAAACTATCATTAAGTTTACTTCTCTCTATCACAATTACATGTCTTTATTTTTCTATATTGAACAAGATAGGTGTAGTTTCATAATACAAACATTTCTCTCACATATTGCTCAAAACTACAGAGCATTTTGAATATTTTGTCTGTTTCATGTGTTTTAAACAAAATTTACTATGGTTTAATAATAATAATAATGAGCAAAAATGACAGCCTTCTGCATATATGCAGAACATATATGCAGAAGGCTGTCATTCTTGGGTCACTGCGTTTGCTCAGGGCACAAGATTCTCGGACCCAATGATCACTTACCCCACCGGTGTGGGGAGTGGTCATTGGTTGATTATGCTGGCGCGCCCTCCCGAATGTATCGGGGCTTCGGGGGATAGGGCCTGACCAGCGCACACTACGGTGAAAGTTCTTGGAACCAACAAGGGCTCTTCGAACGTCATCCGGGGTTATCGGGGTGCGCAGTTCATTGAGCTCAGGCTGTCGAAGCTCTCTGTTGAAAGCTTTGAACTGCGCTAGGGCTGGAGTGTCTAAGTTGAGTGGCTGCGGGTATTCATAGATATCCTTCCAGAAGGATTCCACTTGATCAGCAGTCGGCGGATTATCCACAACACGTGGAGGCTCTTGGAGTGAGCGAGAAGGTTTCTCGCGGAACCTAAGATTTTCCGCGATACTTCTAGCTCGCCTCACTACTGACTTCTTAGCAGCCACTAGCATTCGTATCCTATCAAGGCAGTGCTGATTAGTGGTCAACAGCACGCCTTGGCTTAGAGTGTGATGGATACGTCGTAAATTGGCGGCTATTCGCCGCACTGCGGGCGTGAAAGGCCTATTGGCCGCCCTGTAGTCCATCACACATTGGATACGAGACGCGTGTTGTCTCGCCGACGTGATCTTAGCCTCCATCTTGTGTACACGCCGTTCAATCTTCCGAACCGCAAGGCCGGGATTTCGTCCTTCCGATTCGGAAAGCGATTGGACGACGTTATACACGGCGGTGTTGATTTGCCAGATGTCAGCCTCTTCTGTTAGAACACTATGAACCTCCGNTTTCTTTAAACAATATGGAGGATTAAAATCTAAATTGATTTTTTTCCAAGAAAGAAATTAGTTTTACCAACATGATCAACAAAAAATTAACTTTTTTCTTGATTACTCCAAAATGCAAATTTCAGATCAATGGTATTGACAAAAAATAATCATGGTTATGAAATGAAGCAGTTATAATAAAAAATAAAATTTGACAATACCATGGAGGGGTCTTATATTTCATTTGATTTTTTTTATATGCCCAAATTTTAAATTGTTTGGAAATTGATGCAACAGTGATTACTCAGTTTCAATTATTGACTTATTCAAGAAACATTTTATTGTGAGATTTTCACTAAATAGTTTTCTAAAATCGGAACATGTGTTTCGCTACACAATAGATTTTTCAAGAGTGTCTATACGTGAATAAACATTTTAAGATTCTATTTTCTAACATCTATAACTCACTGATATTTGAATAAAATTTTTCTTAAGAGACTATAACAGTCTTTGTTAGTTAATATGAATAATTATTGAAACATACACAGTCACAGATACATTTTTTTTTCAGACCTACTCCTATTGCAGGCTTTGTCGACGATTATGCTTTTTTGATAAGAGGCCTTCTAGATCTCTATGAAGCATCGTTAGATACTGACTGGCTACAGTGGGCGGAAACTCTACAGGAACAACAAGACAAACTGTTTTGGGATGATATAGGTGCTGGTTATTTCACAAGTCCTGATGGAGACCCATCGATCTTGATCCGTGGCAAAGAAGGTGAGTTTGTCTTTCAGTTTTCTTGAAAATTCCAATGAGTTTGTCTTTCAGTTTTCTTGAAAATTCTAATATTCATACATGAAAAATGTTTATGTATTTAGAGTTCTACAAAATGTGTTTGTTCAGACACCAATAAAACTATTTCACTACTGATTATAGATTATAGAGCAGTGGTTCCCAAAATATGGATCGTGATCCACCGGTGGGTCGCGAGAGCGATTTGTGTGGGTCGCGGAAACAGATTAAAAACACTCAATACATTTGAATTGTTTTTCCCATTTTGGATAAAGGCTAGGGGAGAGTATACAGTTCTTTCAAACATAGCTTTAATAGAGCTGATGGGGTTTTCAACCACATATTTGTGTGAGAGGGCCATTCTCCACTTTGATATATTTAAAAAATAAATATAGAAATAGGCTTTGTGTGGAAAGTGACCTGCGTTTAAAGCTTTCAACTTTCAACCCAGATATAGAGTCTCTTCTGAATCGTGAGCACAAGGCATATTGATTACATAAATCTCATTTTTTCATTTTTTATATTTGCTTAGTTTTGAGATTCTGAAGTGAAAGTATTTTTTCGTACTGTATTTTTTCTTCAATTATATTGTCTTTACCATTTTCTTTCAGAGGTGTATTCCTCAATAGTAAATTTTCACGATAATAATAATAATATTGAAAATATAATTATTAATAATAGTTATACTCAACATTATTTTATATGTGGGTCGCGAAAAAAAATCCACAATACTCCAA